TTGTTTTTTTTTTTTTTTTTTTTTTTTTTTTTTTTTTTTTTTTGCTGTTGTCTTTCATGATCACAATTTAATTTTTCTTCTATTAGAACTTTTCCAACTTCCAGAATTTTCCCTGAAAATGCAACAATCCATGGAATCTCTCAGTTTCTTCAACAAACTTCCTTCAGAATTAATGATACAATTATCTGAAAAGCTCTATTGTTTGATGGAGGAGAGTTTGTTTGCCTCGTGGTTTTGTAAAGCCAAACACTTCTCCTGGAAGGACCACAACTCCCCACAAAAACATTTATTCTCTTTAAAAAGACTTTATCACATTAGTAAACTGAAAATGGAGCTTTAAGATCTCTTCAAAGCACTTCGAGGAATCTATCAGCAGCATGATCAAGTGCATAAATTTTGTCATTTCTTTTCATAGTGGATCAAAACCTGAAAGGATGAGTGATCCAAAACTGCTGTATAAGCACCACTGTCATAAAACATTCAGGTTGGTTTACTGCCAAACATTCTTCCAGCTGCACTTATATGACATAATCATGATGGTAAAGTCCATGGTCAGATTTACAGTCCATGACAAAACACCTCTTGGTAGGTGAAAGCATCACGCAGCAGATTGCTAATTCAAGTTTCCACATTTTAAAAGTCAGCCTTTGATCGAATACTTGTCACAATAGACACAGCACTTTTCTTCAAAAGTCATCAGAAAATAGATGGCTCAAGGACATGGTTAAGAAACAGAGATTGGTCCTGCATTAGCTCTGGTTGCCAAATATTGATTTTGGGGAGCCACGCCTGCTTGAGAATCATAGCATTACTGAAGTTGGAAAAGACCACTAAGGTCATAGATTTCAACTACTGATCCATCAAATGGTTGCATTTACTGCCGGAGGAAGACAGACATCAAAACATGCTCAGTAAAACGCCAGGAACACATGCTGCAATCACATGCAGCTTGTTGACAGGGTTCAGCAGTATAAGGATGTTCAAGTGCACCAGCTAGACCATCAGAAATATATAAGAATGCAAACAGAAAGGAATCACAGCAAGAAATGGGAGAAAAGGAAGTCACCATATGTCATGTGAATTACATACGATTCTCTCTTCTTAAGAAGAATTTTAACAAAGCACGAGCATGAGAAGCATTAGTATAATAAGACACAAGAACAACTTGTTGCAGTTAGGAAGCACTAACAAGCACTACTTGTAGATAGGAAGTAGTTAGGTTTTAGTTTTAAAACCTGGATTTAGGGCTTCGCTAGCATAAAACTGTATGAACCATGAACTGGTTTCTCCTGGACTGGTCTCTACTAGGAGAAACTCATTCAACCATCATAAAATTGTCCAGCCATAGAGAAAGGTTCTCCTGCTTAATTAATCTGCTCCTTTTATCTTTTTGAAGGATTCCTTTTCTTTATTTCTCCACCATTTCTACACCAATGCTTCAGTTTAAATGATAGCTAAACATAGGCTCCATCATAAGTCCTGAGCCAAGTCCTGAACTATGTGAACCCATACTGAATCAGACATATGATTATGTGGACTGAATAAAGCAGACGTTTCACCTAATACCATATCCATGTGCTAAATTTAGTTGAGGAGCTTTCACTAAATTTGAATTTAAAGAAAAAACTGTTTTTTATTTATTCAGCCATTATAAATAAAATGGAGTACACACCTAGCTTTTATTTTTCCAAATTAACTTTGTTTTTATTATTACTAACAGAAGAAAAAAAATTTCTACTTATAATTCAACAATTATTTTCTTGTAGCGAAACAATACCAATAAATATGATCATGACAAAAACTCCACCAAAATGCATTTTAGAAGGTTGAATTATATAACAAGTTGGAATGCCATGTGATTTGCATACAAGTTACATGATGCTTTGACTTAGGATAAAATTCAAGCTACTGTTGATCTACAGTGGTAACAAAAATGCATTCAAGATAAAGGCAGGAATTTATAATCATTACTAAATGTCTTAGAATAAGCCCTTATCTCCATTCTTTACTCTGTAAAGACTTCTTAAACGAGGTGTGCACAGTTCCCACTGTGCACAATTACGGTGCCAGCATAGACACCATTACAAGATACATTCATACCCCTTGTAGCTTTTTTTTTTTTTTTTTTTTTACTCCTTCACAAATGTTAAAAAGCAGAACATGAGTGGATGCATATAAAATTTTCAACTTCTGCCCGTGCCAGTCATGAGATTCCTCCTTTTGACCTATCTTTTCATAACATTTACCAATTTTTGTCTAAGGCCTCATTACACAGTACTTAACAGTTGGATGTAATCATTGTTAGACTACAACTCTGCTGGGGCTCAGCAAGTTTATGTTTAATTTTATCCTCCTTAATTAATTCCAATGACTTTATTTGTATTGTAAAACAAATCATCTATCATTATGCAAGAAATACATTAAACTGCAAAACCCAATTTAAAATGACTGTAATGCCTCAGTCCTTTCAGAATATTATTGTGCCTGTGCAACAGCAAACCAAACAATTCTGAACTAAAGAATGTGCGAACATGCATTTTAATGCTCTCTCATCTGTAATGAACTTACCACCTGTACCCAGGATAAAAACAAACAAGAAACACATCTAGAAGATGACCACTGGGATAGGAGACCTACTAGAAATATAAAGGTTTTGAGATGTGGGAAGAAAAAAAGAGTCTGATTTTCATTTCTTTTAAAAAGTAGAGGATACACGTATCTGTTCAGATTCCTCACACACACACACACACACACACACACACACACACACACCCTCATCCACTCTCAAGATTGCATGCCTATCAACACTGACAATTTAAAGACTGGCTCCAATTCTCTAATTCCAGTACTCTGATTTGCACTTACCTTCATGGTCCTAAACATGCTATAAAATTAGCCTAAAATCAAACACTACTAGTGGCATTCACACCATCTTTCTCAGAATATGTTGTGATCATTAGGCAATAGAACTTTAAAAAAAAAAAAAGTACAAAAAAGACATCTAGACAACACAGATGAGGATGAGTTTACCAGTACTAATTAAGAAAAAGATGAAGGATTAAATAAAGGATGCTGCTATACTTGGAAGAACCAACAGAGACAGCAAAAAGAAACAGTCCAAATGTTGCCCTTATTTATTCTCATAAATATGTAGATTACCTTTGTTTCTACAGTGACTGCGTTGCCTGCTCTGTTCTTCTCCCTGTTAGCCAATTCTAATGCACTGCTGGGATGCCGGGCAGTCCATCAACCCCATTTAAAACCCTTACTTGCTAATTGCTGGTTTTATGAAAAATGTTGTTTCCCTACCCTCTGAAACATACTAAGATAGATTTTCTCATGCTATTTCCAGCTGTTCGTGGTTTAAAGGTAGCAATACTAGGTCAGTGAACAGATAGGACATGATTTTCTGACTCTTATCTTATTCTGCAATGCTTTAACAGTAATGTTATATTTATTAGACAAAGTTTATCCAGAACATGCTTTTAAGATTAAACATTTTCAGAAATTCTTTGTTAGCAGAGCTTCTTCCTTTGAAGTAGGATTTGAAAACATTGATAGTGTTTATCCCAGAAGGGAAATAAACAAGAAAACGCACAATTAATGCATCGAAAATAATGAGTCATTAAGAAGGAGATTTGGTTCTGTCCCCTGACAGATGAGTACAGGTCATTTAATGAAACTAAGTAGTCATATATTTAAAAAGAAAAAGGTAATCTAACTCTTTGCCTTTTGCTCTTTAAGATACTGGCTTTTCCTTGAATAAAATTTCTTCCTACTAAGTAGGTCTCACCTATCTACTTCAGACCAAATTTTATTAATTTAATTCCCGGTTTATTAGCAAGCAGATGAAGTTACGTTAATAATCATACACTAATACACATTAGTTTGAGGCTTAGACACCAAAACTAACTATTATAATTTATTCAGCTTCCAGATATCAGCTTACCAATGACAATCATCAATTTGCACAATTTAAACCATAACATATGGCCAGTTAATGCACTACAGCTTAATACCCAGTGAGATGTTAAAGGTAACTTGCATGACTTTATCAGAGGAAATTATTAGCACAGTAACTTAACACCACATCCATCTCACCCAGGGAAGGCAAACAAGGATTATACTTGTCTTTTGTTTTAAATAGCATATGGCCCTTGTATAACATGAGTACAGAACTATTTATAGCGTAGAAGGAAATGCATCCTCAAAATGCCAATCTCTCCTCAGTAAAGACTACAATTTACCTTCCTAACACATCATCTAAGATAGCTTTTTGAATGAATCTGGAGTCCAGTGTACAAATCTCACCCTCCTCAAGATTTTTCCCCAGGGTTAAAATGAACTAAGAAAAACTGAAGGATGGTATTTCCTATAGCTAGCTCTTTCTACAAGATGTAAGCCTTCCCCTTGTGTAAGCTGTTTGCAAACTCTTTAGGTGGTGACACTGCAGAGAGGAACAATGCACATTCCTCCTCCTCTTCAGCACAGAGTCAGATGGCTTATCTTTGAGAGAGATCCGGTTAAACAACAGTTTATTTGGCAGCAGAGCTGCTGAACAGCACCTTTGTCTTACTAGCAGAACTCCCAGTCCGAACTCCAATACAAAGGTGAGTAGCTCAGGGATAGTAACCCCCCCTCAGGACACTACAGGTGTATCTCAGAGAACCTCAGCTGAAATCCCACTGGTTTCACAGAACAAAGTGTTATTCCTCTGAGGACAGGACATGGCTGTGGATTACAAGCACACTGAATTGATAGCATTTCTGTTAAGAATCGTGAATAATTCATTACCCATTCAGCCCTCAGAGAAGAGCAAATTAAAGATGCTGCTTGAAATACCACTCTTATTGGAAATAATATGGAAAAAAAAGCAACTCCTTTTCCCTGCCTATTGCATACAAACTTGCAAACAAAAGTAGCCTCCTTTAAAAGAAAACAGTTGCTGACATTTTACATTTCTGTTTTTATTTTATTTACAGGACATTGTCTACAGGGAAATGACATTTTCTTTCAGCTAAGAAATAGAAAACACATAGAAAAAGTGTACAGCTGGCAATTACACAGAGTCAGCAAAGTATGGGGACAAATAATCACCAATGGTTTTTATAAATGCACAGAAATACGAATGAAATTCACATTATTATGGTATATTGTAATTCAACTTATAACCTCCAGAAAATCAAAATTGAATCCTTTCTTAATGTACCTTTTCTAGCACCAATCAACACACTGAATAACACAAAGAATTTATCTTCAAATCATATTTTCATTTTTATAAATCTGTAAGTTTTTGTAATGTGGTGACAAAAATACGTTATGAAGTCATTGAAACACATACATATATATTTAACATTAGAACTAATTGCAAATGAATTTTTATATGTTAGCCAGGAATTATCACAGCTTTTTATTGCATGTCAAAACAACCACATGAATATATTTACAGCCTTGAGAATATAGACAGAAAAAAGAAATACTAAATTCAAAACAGAGTTATTCAATAAAATTATTGTACTCCAACCAGAAATAGGACATTATGCTAACAGCATAGTGGAGCAAGACAGCACAATTTGACTAAAAATACTTATTTTTATTCATGACTTCTACAGACTGTCAGCAGCTGTAGGAATACAAACTTTATGTTGCCAATGATATCTGACAGCACAAGTGAAGGAACTTGCTTTCCCCTCTCTACATGCTTGAAGAACTGTAATATCATTTACCAACCGCAAAGGTTTACATAGGCCTGGTAGAGCGAGATTAATATGCTTCTTTATGAAGCAAGCAGCAATGTTTACATCTTTGCTTCTTCCCAAGTAGCATCTCATTGCAAACCCTTCATACAGCAGGCTGATGTGTGCTACCGGAAGCTCAAAGAATAAATGCAGAAAGTCATGCTTTAAAACAAGCATTAACTCTTTGACCCAGAACTACAGAATTCAAGCAGGATTTCTTCATTTCTGATTTCAGCTTTATCTTCCAGCATACAACCAGTTTTTACAGCAGAACTGAAGCAGAGAATTGCAGGCAGCCCCTTGCATTTGCTCTGAAAGACCCATAAATCCATTCTGAAAGACCATATTCCCAAGTCATTCTACTGCAAGACAAGGGAAAAACTTTTCTGTGCACTTCTGAAATCTGAAAGCAACTAAAACGTGGCCTCCTAAGAGCAAGAAAGATAGAAGCCTTCCATGCACCAGAATTGGCCACTTCATTCCCAAGTGCCACCTCCATCAGCTGCCAACAACACTGAGCCAGGTGTGTGACCAAGGGAAGATACAGTTCTGGCCAGGTCAGCAACAGCTCAAGCACTAAGCCTTGTTAGGGTACAGCAAGCAGCAGAACGCTCATCACACCACATGTTCTGCTCTCACATGAAAATACCATGAAGTCAGCAGAGATTTGATCAAGTTTCCAAGTCTGGATCAACTCTGGAGCAAGTTCCGAGCAGAAAAAAATCCCATCTATTGCTATACTTATAAAAAAGCTTCTTTCTGAAAATCCTGCTTGTCCTGCGGCTCTGCTGAAAATGATTCACTTGCCAGAATAGACAGCCTCCCTTATATAAACTGCAACAGAAAGATTTAACAACTTTCCTAATAAAGAGTCTTAAATAACTGCAGTTCTTTGGGCATTACCCATATCAAACATTACATTTGTTATAGGTAGCAATGTTGAAGAAGGGATTAATCCAGGTTATTGAATAACTGCTTCTAATTCATTCCAAAGACAACAAAAATACAAAAAAAAAAATAAATTGTATATTCACTCAAATCACAGAGGCACATATATACACACATTCTCTTTCCAAAGCATCTACCATTTATTTCTCTGCCCTGGAGGTCCAGAAATAACAGACCTACAACTGTGACTTTGTTGAGGCATAAAAGAGCTTCTCTAAGTTATTTTTAGGTTGATGTTTCCCCTCTCAAATCATCTTCACAGTCCTACAAAATCAAACTCCCAGTGGGTGGCTTAGCTTTAAAGAAAGAAATCAGTAACAACACCTGCTATAAAATTATGTTTGGTTGTAATTGTAGGGTGGGACCTGAAGAAAATTCTCATTGCCTGACTAATGTAGCTTAGGAAAAGTTTACTGGGGTTTCAAACAGGAGTAGATCTAGGCCAACCTCACAACTACATTTATATATGGTTTTGGTTTTTGTTTTTTTGTTTTTTTTGTTTTGTTTTGTTTTTGTTTGTTTGTTTTTGTTGTTTTTTTTTTTTGTGACAAGCTCAACTCATATTCAAGCTGCCCTGATTACAGCATACACAGTTAACCAACACTTTGTCTTTCTCCTACTAACTAGCCATCATCATGTAGTCTTTCCTGATGTCATTTGTAGATGACAAAAACAACAAAACTATGTAGAGTATAAAGCAGGGAGGACAGGATATCATTAGTCAATACATTTTGTCAAACATACAATGCGATAACACTGCAGAATTGTGAAGAAAAAAAGCTATATAATTTTTTTCCTATATACATGTGTTAGGATAAGATACTGGAAAGTAAAAATGACAATAAATGCATGACATCTTAACAATGAAAGTAAACTATATTTCAAGTTCATGGTTCTGTCTCCTCCATGTTCATGTTAGATTTAGTACTGGGAATGAATCACGGCCCAGATCGCACTGACAGAACTGTTCAGCCAAGCACAGCAGTACCATCTTTCTACCACTGCCCAGGCTGTGGGCACAGGTCATGCTGAGTCTCCCCTCTGTTTGCCTGCAGCAGGGAGTACTTTGGGGTAGAAAAAATTTAACAGCCAATCTGAATTTTGCATGACTTCACTGTTCCTCTTCTACTCTCAGACACTGAAATAAGGATGAATCCGATGAGTCTCCCATGCAGTATGAAGTTTCTTCTGCAAACAGCATCAGGTTCCATTACTACCTATCTTTGCTCCCCCCCCCCCCAAGTTCACTATTCATGTTCTCAAGCCCTAGGTTTATTAACCTTGTCTATCAGTCTATTCGGAAGATGCTTTCACCAATTAACCTGATAGGTTGTTCCTACCATTTCCTAGAACACCATCAGCAATAAATAGTCTTGTTCTAACTCTGAAAGAACTTGAAGCTTCTTTTTTCTGCTTCCCCCTGTCAGCATGAAGTGTGCCCTCCCCAGTATTAAATATTCTGTTGATTGATACAGTGCAATAAGATACACAAATGCTTTGAAGCCGAATTACTTTAAATTTCAGTAATTTTAGAATAATAATGCTCATCCACATTGATTTTCTCCTGAAGATATTAGTGTCATCTGTAGCTGCAAAGTGTTTATCATAATTTAATATATTTGTACTTTGGTGGACAGTAGCCCAGGTGCAATCAGAGTTCCCCCTCTGCTAGGCATTCAGTCAAAATTTGATATTATGAGAGTTCAAGATTTGAGTGCAAAATCATTCCTTCCCTTGCATTTCCCACCCCAACTTGTGCTTCTGAGGATTTTCAGAAGAGTGATACTGGGTTATTTGTTTGAGAAGTAAGAGGTTCTGGACGTCCTCAGGTGGAGGGCATTATCTGCTCCAGTCCATGGCAAGAGTTAGTAAGGCAGTACGATATCTAGTGTGCCCCCATCTGCTCCTGTTGCTCTAAGTAAGAGGACTTTAGTTTTGCAGGTGGAATCTTCAGTAGGTAGCTTGTATTGATTCAAAAGGAGATGCGTACCAAATAACTCACCATGCAATCCTCTCTATGCCTCCTGAAGTGACTCAAATTTTTGTTAACACCAATAAATCCTACTGTTCTTACTTATATTGGGCTTTTTCCTTGCTTCCTCCTTCTGTTCCGCACTGGCTTTTACTTAATCTCTATAAATATTCAGGTAACCACTCACAGTTCTCTCAAGAGGCACTCTCTACATTCAATAAGGTACTCAAGACACCTGAGGTTTGTTCAATCCAGGCTTTCTTTATCATATAGCTGAATGAATCCAGATAAAAATGAAAGCTTAAGAAATTAGATCTTTATCATCACTATGCACTTTCTTTTTCTTTTTCCAAAAAGAGAATCTCATGCGCATCTATGTACACTGACCATCTAGTTTTTAATCAAGTCTGTAGAGAAAAAAATATTTGATCCGCTCCAATTTCTTCCATAATCAAATCAGCAGCAATTTGGGATAACGTCATTTAATTAAATCTTTTCCTCCTGCCCTCCTCCAAGAACATGGTTGGTTCAGTGGGCACACCATTGGACACATCGCAGAAGCTCCCACCCAACCAGAGACACATCAGTAACATGAAACCTTGAAACCTTCTGAAATCACTGTTGATCCAGTGCTAACTTCCCTGAGTTTGTAAGTCAACAGAAACCTATCTGTCAAAAGCCTGGTAACACACACAAATATTTTCTCAAGGAACTGTTAAATTAGCTTCCTTGCCATCTGTGACACTTTGAAGAGTCAAAAGCCACCGTTGCTCAACTCAATGCCCGAATTTCCACTGCTGCTCCTCCCCCTAGGAGTTCACAGCAGAGACACGTGCACTTTCTGCAAATATGAATTTCCCTGGATAATGTCTCTTTTAGTACTTACATTTTTTTAGTAGAAATAATTTAACATAGCACTTCTGCTTGCCCCACAAGACTTCAAAGTTTCATACAGTACAAATGAAAAACTCCAGCTTCAGTTATAGAGCAAGAGCTGACAGTTAGAGAACATTTTTAACAATTAGAACTGTAATCTGCTGAAATCTGAAATGAAAGGAAAATTCCACCTTTATTAAAAGTCATGGAATCTAAATATCCTCATCATTCTTAGCATCTTTTTGTGGTGAACATTACACACAAAGTTGCTATTGTCTCCTATTTGCCACATCTGCATGAATACCTTCTCAATATTAACATCACCATGGTCTTTTAATCAACAAGAAATAGCCACGGACAGAAATTTACAGCAATTCAAACTGGTGAAACACCACCTTGTTTCATATTTTCTATTGCATTTCCAAAAAGCAGCAACAAGTTACTGCTAGAAGCAGAGAAGGCACTTGTTTAATCTGCAATATATATGTAGATAACTTTCAGGAAGAAATTGCCTGAAAAAATCAGAGTTCACAATACACACACAGTTGAGAGAGAATACAGCTTTTTCAAAAAGCAAAAGACCTGCATTGCAAGGAGATCACTCACAAATGAAAAATACAACAGATAACTTTGGTTCACCTCGCTCTTCTCAAGGCATGCTATAATCTTGCTGAATGAAGGAAAGTTTCAGCTCTACTGCTTTTGCTGCCGTATCCTCCTTACACGAATCCACAATTCATATCATAGTTTCTCAGGTCCAGAAGTCTTATTTTTACTTCTTTGAGAGGTGTTCAACATGTCTCTTAGTGAAAGGAGACACACCAACATCAGACAAAAATGTCTGTTTAACACATTCTGAAGAACCATAGAATGGCAATTTATACCAGAAGAAAAATGGATGAGTAAACTCAACAGCATTAATGAAACTGAAACTAGATACACAGAAACGTAAACGGAAATTAGAAATTCTTCGTTAGTAGTTTTCATTTGTCAGACATGCAATGAACTCTACAAGCAAAAATTCTCCTTTTGTAGTATTGATTTAGAAACAAAAACTTAACACAGGATTAGATGCCTTAGGTTTTCACAGCAATCACATAAAGAGGAAGTCAATACTGACAATGAAATTACAATTTCTAAAATCTTCTCCATTGTCATTTCTAAAAGCTTGCCTCCCAGTGATGATATCCTTCATCTCTAGGCAAAGCTGGTCCCCTCTTTCCATACTCAATAATATATTTCAGCTCTCACTCAAATTTTATAACACGTCATGTCGAGATGCTACTGTCATGTCAATTAATGTTGACATCTGATGTTGCTAAATGCCTAACTTTTTGGAGAGCTATGGATGAAGAGAGAAATTCAATTTATTGTTTGTAAGTGAATTTCTCTCCTAGATAACTAGCTAGTAATCAATATTAACATTCACATCACTTCTGGATCCGGGCTACTATGTACAAGATCACGAAAACTGAAGTAGCAAACATACTGTTTTTTTTCCTTATTGTAAGTTACTGAATCAAAGAACTACAGAAGAAAATTACACACTAAAAAATAAAAGTAACAACAACATTACAGAGCTGAAGATGACTCCTGTTCCTAAATCATGAGAAACTAGAAGCACTGTTTAACAAGCAATGTTTCCTTCCTTCCATTCAGCCCAACGTATAAGCATTAAAAGGGTGCCAAGAGACCCAGGAAGAAATTACAGCTCTCCAATCATCTGAATGGTTTCAGGCCAGTTGCTTCCGTCTCAGTTTCAAAAGTAAACACCATAATATATTTATAGAGACGGCCAAAAATCAACTCTAAAAATGATTTGATTACTTTTTAATAGAAGGGTTTGTTCTTGGATTGGATGGCTGAAACATCAGTTCCCGTTGATTTAAGTAGCTGTTTGCTAACTGAAAGCTTGAAAATCCAATGACCTTTTATAGTTGAAGCAGCAGCTGTGTTATCCTGCCAATATCTACTCTCTCCTCAACACCACACTCATTTGTTGACATTAAGTGTGATTGCCATAAAGGTGATATAGCTGAGATTTAAACAGTATCTGCATTGTCCTGTGGATACTTATTTCAGAGCTAGTCTGTAATTACAGACTTTATTAAGCCTT